CTGGGCTGATGACAAAAGGAGCAAACTCAGTCGCACCACACAGGCTAAACACTGGTGAACAGCAAAATATACAGAAATTTGTTGCAGGGCCAGGGAGATAGCTCAATGGGTTGAGTGCATGTTTTGCATGTAAGAGGCCTGGCACATGGTCCCCTGAGCACCACCAAGAGTGACCACCAGGAGTGACCACCAAGCAACACAGTGGGAGTAGCCCCTGAGCACTGCTGGGGTGAACAAAATAAAATTTCTTCTTTCTTTCTTTCTTTCTTTCTTTCTTTCTTTCTTTCTTTCTCTCTTTCTTTCTCCTTCCTTCCTTCCTTCCTTCCTTTCTTTCTTTCTTTCTTTCTTTCTTTCTTTCTTTCTTTCTCTCTTTCTACCTTCCTTCCCCTTCCTTCCTTCCTTCCTTCCTTCCTTCCTTCCTTCCTTCCTTCCTTCCATCTTTCCTCCTCCTCCTCTTCCTCCTTTTCCTTCTTCTTATTCTTCCTCCTCCTCTTTTTCTTCCTCCTCCTCCCAACAATACTAAGGGATTACTCCTAGCTATGCACTCAGGGGTCACTCCTGGAGGGCTTGAGGGACCACACAAGGTGCTGGGGATTGTACCCAGGTCAGTTGTGTGCAAGATACGTACTATAGTATCTCTGGTTCCCTGTTGTAGTTTTGTATGCAAACAAACAAACAAACAAACAAAAAAAGAGCACTGCAGCACTGTCCTCTCATTGTACATTGATTTGCTCAAGCGGGCACCAGTAACATCTCCATTGTGAAACCTGTTGTTATTATTTTTGGTGTATCGAATAAGCCATGGGGAGCTTGCCAGGCTCTGCTGTGCAGGCGGGATACTCTCGGTAGCTTGCCCGGCTCTCCAAGAGGGATGAAGGAATCAAACCTGGGTCAGCCACATGCAAGGTAAATGCCCTACCCACTGTGCTATCACTGAAGCCCCCCCCCCCCAAAAAAAAATACCTGTTAATTTCATTTACAATGCATCCAAAAAGTTAATGTCTAGGAATCAAATTAACAAAGAAAGCCAAAGACTAATGTCATTACATTATGTCACTATTTTAAAAAAATTAAAAAACACAGGAAATAGAAAAATATTTCATGCTCACAGGTTGAAAAAATTGTCATTGCTAAAATGACCACCCTACCCAAAGCAAAAACGATTCCATTCAACTGGCATTCTTTAAGGAAACAAAAAGAACTTTATTAAGATGTATATGGAGCAGCATCCCAGCAGCCAAAAACCTCCAGAACTCAACCACCACCATACTCAAGGCCACTCTCCACACTCTCAGATGAGCCGCACCCAAGAGGGAACCAGTAGAAAAACCCAGGTATGAGGGAACCCGTGACTGAGATTGCCAAGCCTGCTTGAATCGGGACTGGGCCTCCTCCCCCAAGCTCCCCACTTTTCCAGTAGCTTGGCAGCCACACCCACAAACTGCTCCTGGTGCCATGTAATCTCATCAACAGTCAAGATCCAGAGACTATCAAATAAAGCTCCTGGAAGAGAGCTACGCAGAATGTCCTGGAGCTCGCAGCCACATTTGTGGCCAGGTGACCTCTTATACTCTAGCCCACTTACATACCAAAAGTGGCATACATCTGTATGGTTTTAACATACTTGCTTGTTATCTCTTATACACGGGCCTAAATGACTCCAGAATGAAATCCAACACTCTTCATACACTTCCCTCTTATTGTGGTGGGAAGGTGCTCAGTGGTGTGATTGGTGTTTGAATATTATCTGTAATAAACTACTGTGAACTGTAGCACTGTCCTCCCGTTGTTCATCGATTTGCTCGAGCGGGCCCAGTAACGTCTCCATTGTGAGGCTTGTTGTTACTGTGTTTGGCATATAGAATACGTCACGGGTAGCTTGCCTTTTAGGAAAATAAAATACATAAAAATTTTCAAAATAAAATGAAAAATGTATATGGAACCCCCAGACCTGCTGAAAGTCAAAGCAATCCTGAGGAAAAAAAAGGAAGACAAAAGGCATCTCATCCCCTGAATTCCTCATTTATTTGGTTTTGGGACCACACTCAGCAACGCTCAGGGGTAACCCCTGGCTCTATTACACCAGGCAGTGCTCAGGAGACCATCTGTACCAGGGATCAAAACTAGGCCGGCTGCATGCAGGACAGGTGCCTTACCCACTGTACTACCCTTACAACCTCTCATCCCCTGACTTAAAACTACCTCAAACTATGCTCGAACCTTATAAGGCTTTGGTAGTCAAAACAGTGGTGTTGAGAGCCTGACAGAGAGCAAAGGGTTAAGGTGCATGCCTTGCATGTGGTTGACCCCAGTTCCATCCCAATCACCACATGATCCCTGGAGCATTGGTAGCCATAGCCCTGGGGTCCCCTGAGCACTGCCAGGCACAAGCAGAACCACATCTCTTGGCCTTTGCATTGAACCACCAGCCTGTTTGGCAGAGAATGGCCTGGAGAGGCATCCAGGCCTTCTGAACAGTATATGGAAGACAACCCCCAACCCCTACCCAACATGCATGCATGCATGCATGCATGCATATGCGTGTGTCTGTGCGTGCACGCACACACGCACACACACACACAATAATAGTGTGGGGTTGGAGTAAAAGCAGACACTTACACCAGTGGAATAAAATGATGAGCCCATAAAATATACTTAACTCTATGGACATCCATTTACCACAAACGAGCAAGAGCAGAAAATGAGGAAAGGAAAAGTGTCTGACAGGAATGGCGCAGGGAAAATGGAAGAACCATGTGCAGGAATATTAAATGGGACCGCGATCTCCTGTCATGTACAAAAGTTAATTTGCAGTGGATTAGACCCAAGAAATGCTTAGATGAAAACACACGCAAACAAGTTGTTGGCTTCACTCGGTGCCTCGGGGGATTCTGCTCCCTTGCCAAGGAAGACAAAAGCGAATATAAACAGATGAATAGCATCAAGCCCAAAGGCTTCTGTACAGTGAAAGAAACTATCAGTAAAAAAAAAAAAAAGAAAACCTACGTAAGGAGAAAATACTAACACACCATCGTCTGGCAAAGTGCTAATATTCAAGATATACAAAGCACTCACAAAATTCAACAACGAACACACAAACAACTTCATGAAGAAAGTTCAGGGGAAGAGGGACCAGAGTGATAGCTCAGAGAATTTTCTTTTCATGCAAGAGGCACTAATCCAGCCCCTCAGACCACCCGGTCTTTGAGCATTTCCAGGAGAGATTCTCCCGGGCAGCAGCAGGTGTGACCCTCCCCATTCAAACCCAAAGCCCCAGCCAAAAAGACCAGAAGTAAAGCTAAACAGACACTTCTCCCAGGAAAACCAAAGGATATGAAAAACTAATCGCTGCACATTATCAGAGAAATGCAAATCAAATGACAATGAGAGTGCCACCAAACACCAACGACAACAACCTACATCAAAAAGTCTAGAAACAGGGGCTGGTGGGGTTGGGTGGATGGGGGGGTAGTAATAATCCTCATTCACTATTAGTGGGATATAAGCTGGCTCAGCCTCTGTGTAAAAGTCGGCAGACTCTCCAAAGATCAGAAATATCATAAGAATCAGCAATTCCACTCCTTGGCATTAGCTCAAGAACACAAAAACACTAACCCAAAACTATATTCACTGAGGCGCTAATTACGGTAGCCAAGATCTGAAAACCAGCCCACGTGCCTGGCAACAGACGAGTGGGTAAAGATATGGTCTCTGAGAGAACAAAAGGGAATGCCCTGCCACAGAGGCAGGGTGGGATGGGGGGATGGGGGTGGGAGAGATACTGGGATCCGTGGTGGTGGGAAATGGGCACTGGTGGAGGGATGGGTACTCGATCATTGTATAATCGAAACCCAAGCACAAAAATTTGTCAGTCTACAACTGTACCTCATGGTGTTTCACTAATAAAAATTAATAAAAAGAAGAGAAAAGAAAAGAAAGATATGGTATCTGATGGTCTCTGGCACCATGGGGTACTGGATACAGGTCAGCTACAAAGGGGAGCCTTGGCTTCTGGGTAGGAACGGGATCAGAGGTCACACAAAAGGAAGACACACACCGGACGCCTTCACTCATGTGCCGAACAGCGTCGGCAGAGAGACAGTGTCAAGGACTGGGAGATGTTTAGTAAAAACCAGCCCCCGGGCTCTGGGGAGAGTGCGGAGGTCACCAAGGCAGGAAGGAAAGATGGAAAAGTCTTAGGGGCAGCAGTGGGGGTTATTGGCACTTTGGTGGTGGGGGTGAGGGGGTGACACTGATCCCGCACACAGAGGTTCTCTGCTTGTTTGGATTTTGCGGTCATACCTGGCCTGGGCTCAGGAATAAGTCTTGGCCGCACTCAGGGAACATTTGTGGCCCTGGGGACTAGACCCGAGTGAAAGCTACTTTCTTCATGGGAACAAGCAAAGGGAAGAGACCCTATCCCCCTGGCTGGGCAATTCCTGCCCTCCCCTCTCCTTCCCTTCCTTCTCTCTGGACAGCTGCTACCGAGTTGGACCATCTTGGCCCCTGTCCTCTCCTTTAAGTCTGGATTCTCTGAGGCTAAGGACCTGACTGCCACAACCCCAGGCCCCTACACCCACAAGCCTGTGCTCTAAGCAGTGCATGACACCCTCTTCCTGTCCTGGCTGGATGTCGTGGAGCCTGTCACCTGAGGCACCATCAGGGTTGGGACTCAGGGGACTATGCTCACAAGACAAGCACTTTGCTGTTGTTTTTGGTTTTTTTTGAGGGGGCCACACCGGTGGTGCTCAGGATTTACACCTGACTACACTCCAGGATCGCTCCTGGCGGGGCTCAGGGGACCATCTGGGGTGCCAGGAATCGAACCCGGGTTGGCTGTGTGTAAAGCAAGTGCCCTGCCTGCTGCCGCGTGGCTCTAGCCCCCAGACAGGTGCTGTAAGCCATGGCCCTACTTCCTAACCATGACACCTTGACCGCTCCTGGGTCCGACCCGTCTCACAGGGGAATTGCAGTGAGTGTGCGTGAGGGTCCCGGCTTACCCTGGAGGTGAGCGTTTTGTAGGAAGTCTTTGTGGCTTTCCTTCACCTCTCCAGGTTTGGAGAATCGGTACTCGCTCCGCAGGGAGATCTTCCACCATCGAAAGATGACCTGTGGCGAGCAGGTGATGGGAGTGAGAACCAACTCACCACTGCCAAGCATAGGTTCAAGGCGAGGGTGTCAGTGAGCATTTTCCTCAGAGATTAGGCCAAAGAACCACAGTGCTACAAGGAAACTTAAAAGGAAAAAAAAAAAAGCAATCAAGCCAGGGACAAGAGAGATGGTTTGACAGTCCAGAGTTGGGGAGCTGAAGCAATAGCACAGTGGGTAGGGTCCCTGCCCACCTCAGCTCCAGCATCCCATATGGTCCCCTGAGTACCGCCAGAAGTAATTCCTGAGTGCAGAGCCAGGGGTAACCCCTTGAGCATCACTGGGTGTGATCCAAAATGAAAAAAAAAAAAAAAGTCCAGATCTGGGTTTGGACTCAGTTTGCATGCAGGAGGCCCAGGTTCTGTGTTAGGTTCCTGGTGCCACATGCCCCACCCACCCCTGGCATAGCAACCCCCGGACACAGAGGCGAGGTTATCTTCTGAGCACTGCCCAAACAAAACAGAACCAAAAGAAGTCACTCAGAGTCGTCTGTTTCTGGAAGATCTGAGAATAGAGATGTTCTAGCTGGAGAACCAATTCCAGAGAAATTCCACCTACCCTACCCCCCTGCCATCTCCAGGGCTGGCGAGATGAGCAGATGTTTTCTCTGACAAGGAGTGAGTGACCTGGACAGTCACAGGAAGCTTTGCTTGGCGCTGGGAACGGCCAATATGTAGGACAAGCCTGGTTGGTGTTTCAAAAAGAAAGACGTGGGGTTGGAGCAATAGCACAGCGGGTAGGGCATTTGCCTTGCACGCGGCCAACCCAGGTTCGATTCCCAGCATCCCATATGGTCCCCTGAGCACCGCCAGGGGTAATTCCTGCGCGCAGAGCCAGGAGGAATCCCTGAGCATTTCTGGGTGTGATCCAAAAAGGAAAAAAAAAAAAGAACGACGTGTGAGGACATAGTACAGGAGGCGATGTGTTTGCCTGGCATGCTGCTGACCTGGGTTCAATCCCGGACACCCACATGGTCCCCCGAGCCCCACCAGGAGTGATCCCTGAGCAAAGAGCCAAGAGCTAACCCTGAGTGGGCCCATATCTCTCCCCTCCAAAAAATCAAATTTTTTGTTTTGTTTGGGCCCATACTTGGCAGTGCTCAGGACTTACTTCTGACTCTACGCTCTGGAATCATTCCAGGAGAAGCTTGGGGGACCATATGGGGTGCCAGGGATTGAACCTGTGTCTGCTGCATGCAAGGCAAAGGCCTTCCCTGCAATAATCTCTCTCCAGCCCACCTCCAAAAATAAATTTAAAAAATACAAAGGCTTTAGAGGCACTTGCCTGTGCTAAGCCCACGTCACCCAGCAGACTGAGTAACTGACTTGATTAGTCCCAACCTCCCCTAAGAGCGGAATATGAAAAAGACCAATTGATGCCCAATTACCGGGTTATACTACGGAGGAAACCCTGCTTGTCCTGAGTCTAATTTCCCTCCCTCCTCCACCATACATCAGCCCTTTGGTCAGCTGGCCCTATCCCTCCCCTGCCCTCCTGGTGACCACTTAGTCTGAGAGATGGTCTTAGTCTTCCTTCCTCCTTCCTTTTAGTTTGGAGTGCCGAGAACTACTCCCTGCTCAGTGCTCGGAGGTCACTCCAGGTGGTACCTGGGGCTCAAACCCAGGCTTCCTGCGTGCAAAACACACGCTGTGTAAGTCCTGGAGCCATCTCTCTGGTCCCTTATTTTATTTCTTTATCCCCCACCTATTTGTGAAATCCTTCTATTCTGGTCTTGGGGACTCATGCAGAGATGCTCGGGGGTTACTCCTGGCTCTGTGCTCTGGGATCACTCTTGTTGGTGCTCAAGGGACCCTGTGCAGTGGCGGAGATTGAGCCAGCCGCGGGCCAGGCCAGCACCTGAGCCCCTGCGTTACCTCTGAAGGCCTATAGTACTGCCCTTTCTCCATCCAAACCAAACTCCTCCTACCAGGGCCCCCGGGGGGGAAAGGGAGCTAGCAGACAGCAGAACGGGACAACGGTGTGTGAGCAATGCCTGGGCTGCCCGTGTCCCGTTTCCTCTCCTCACACCCAGGACTCTGCCACAGGGACTCCCAGGCCCTGTGGCCGGTGTCCTGCTCTCTACTAGTCCCTCTGCTCCTCTCTACAACCTTCTCGGGACTGGCCCGGGAACCACCCCAGCACCAAACCGTGCAACATCCTCTTTTTGTTTTCCCTTTTATCTTCCTCTGTAAACTTCCCCTTTCAATTTTTTTTGTTTGACAGACATAAGGGCATGGCCACATTCTCTAAGTTTCAGCTGTGCATTGTTGAAATCAACATGTGGAGGCCAGAGAGATTGTACAGTGGTTAGGACACTTGCCTTATTGCACGTAGTCAACCTGGGTTCGATCCCCGGCATCCCACAGGGTCCCCCAAGCCTGTCAGGAGTGATCCCTGAGTGCAGAGGCAGGAGTAATCCCTGAGCACTGCCGGGTGTGCCCTCCCCCAATAAATCAACATGTGTCAGTCCTTGGGGGTGGCTCAGTGCATGTGCTCCTGTCCCTTGCGGTCACGAGGCTGAGGGGTCAGTCCCAGCACTGGGCCCATGGGAGCACTGATGTTCCTATGTTCCTAGAGTCACAAGAAAGCCAACATCAGGCCAGGGAGACCTCTCAGAGGGCTGGCACGCAGGCTTCGCATGTGGGGAGACTCTGGTTTGTTCCCCAGCGCTGCATGTCCCCTGGAGCACGTCCGGGAGCAGTCCAGGAGCACTGAGCTGGGAGTAGCCCTGACCACTGGTGGGTGCGACCCAAGAAGGAACAAAAACGTGGGTGAGCTTCAGAGCACAGCACCAAGCGTGTGAGAGCACCATGGGGGAGGTGCTCTGGCAGGGTCTGCCATGAAGCCAGTGTCATGGGCGTCTACAATGACACTGCCAGTCCCCTCGGGCAGCCTCACAGGGAAGGGGACGGGGGACCAGCAGGTGCCTCGCTGCGTTTCTCTCTCCAGCCCCAGCCTCTGCTCCATGCAGCAACTCCAAGGCGCAGAGGAGAGACTATTCTGGAAGGGGGAGAAAGTTGGGCCGCCCCCAGCGATGTTTGGGGCCTTCACCTGCCTCTGTCCTCAGACATGACCCTTGGCGGTGCTTGGGTCTGTTTGTGAGCACCTGAGACTCACACTGGGGTGGGCAGGAGGCAAGGCAGGTGCCCAGAGCCCTGTACTATGCCTGAGTCGGTACTTCTAGTCCTGTCTTACCTAGCACCCGGCCCAGCGGGAAACAGGCCCACAATAAATTCTTGTGAGCCAATTTTTTTGTTGTTGTTATCATACTTTATTTGTCTTTCTATTTCAATTTTTAAAAAATGGTTTAATTGAGCATCATGACAGGAAACAGTATTAATATTGTTTCGGGCTTACAATGCTCCCGGACCGCACCCACCACTCGCTGCCAACATCTCTTCACCACCACAGTATCCCTTTTGTTTGTTCTTGCCTGGCCCCACACCCCAAGCTGGCAGCCTCACCTCTGTGGGCACCGCCCCAGGGTTTGGTTGGTTGGTTGGTTTAGAGTTTGACAGCCACACCCATCCATGCTCAGGGCTCCTCCTGGCTCTTAACTAGCAGTGCTCGGGGGCCCCTTGGAGTTCTGTGCTTGGGAGATGCTCTTGGCAGTGCTTGGGAGACCATCTGGGGTGTCAGGGATCAAAGCTAAGGCCCAGTGGGCTGAGCTATCTCTTCCTTGACAACCCCCAGCAATGGTCCTCAGCTCGGGCTGTGGCAGCTTGGGAAAAACAAAACAAAACAAAACAAAACAAATCAACCCTGTAGATCAATCAGCTCCCCAAAGCAGCTCAGAGCCCCTCCACCCTGGGGCTGCCCCACTCCATTCTGAGGGTGTTGATTTTGCTTTTGAGGTCACACCTGGCGATGTACAGGGGTTACTCCTGGCTCTGCACTCAGGAATTATTCCTGGCGTTGCTCAGGGAACCATACGGGATGCTGGGAATCGAACCCGGGTCGGCCGTGTGCAAGGCAAATGCCCTCCCCGCTGTACTATCACTCCATCCCCTTGCTTTTTTTCTTTATCACACTCCATTCTGGAGTTGCCCGCATTCATCTTAAATTTAGTACCTTCCATTAGTCCACTTTTTATTCACTGTCTTCTCCTGAAATTTCCTTTGCTTTTTTTGTCTGTCTGTTTGGTGTTTGGTGTGTGTGTTTGCGGGGGGGGGGGGGGGGGGGGGGGAGTGGTGAAATGAATTGGGCCACACCTGGCAGTGCTCAGAGACTACTCCTGGCTCTGTGCTAAGGGATCATTCCTGGCGGGGTTCGAGGAACCCTATGCAGTGGCAGGATCAAACTGGGGCCAGCTGCATGCAAGGCGAGCGCCTTAGCCCTGCAGTATCTCCACAGCCCTGACACGCCTTTCTGTGAGGCAAGACTAGACCCCAGCGGGAGGGAGAGATTGGAGGCGACTTTCTCTTTTCCCTGGGAAGCGCATGCCCTGTCCCAGCCCACAGCTCCCCGGAAGTTCCTGTGGCAGGACCAGCATCCACGCCGAGGAGACCAAGTGGGTCTCAGTTGCAGAGGCTGGTGGGTTCGGTGTCCAGCTGCTGCCCACTTCCACCAGTCCTGACCTCCCCAGACACTCACTTCACCAATGACACTTCTAACCAGATCAAGCTGCAGAATTCTGCGTGGCCTGGGGGGTTCCAGAAGCCCCGGAGATTCAGACAGGCACTCCCCCGCCCCCCCCCCCCACCACCACCACACTCATGTGGCCTCTGCTGTTCAGAAAAGGCCAGGAGACACGTGCAGGGCCTCGCCTCTCAGTCTCTTGCCGTCGTTCATTTTGTCAATGAAAAATCATTTCTGACATCCTGCATATTAATTAATCCTCTGGTGCTGATTTGCGAGGCAATGGAGGAAGTATTTGCCTGATGGCCTTAGGAGGGAAGCTGCCCTCTGGAAGATCCTGGGGCACACACACAAGTTCACCTGGACACAGATTAGTCTTGTAC